TTTTTCTTGCTCTGCCTCATGGCACCTCCAGCTCATTAGCCTATTTTTCTAGCACCCATTAACGGCTCATTTGTGAACAAGCAACCATTGTGTGGCATAAATGGTAGGCCTGTTTGATTCATTGTGCATTGTATTTAAATGTTGTTTGATGCCTTGAGTCAGGTGTAACTCAAAGGGACCTTATACATAAGAAGGGTGGACTGTTGCCCATCCCAGGCCATGCACATGATTATTGGGATATTTAAATACTGACGTGGGTGCTAATCATAAAGTTAGCAGTTTGAAACCACCAGTCGCTATTTGGGAGACAGGCCTTTCTACTTGAGTAAAGATTTCCAGTCTTGGAAACTCACAGGAACGGTTCTACCCCATCCTATAGGCTTGCTCTGAATAAGCAGTGAGGCGTGTGTGTGTGTGTGTGTGTGTGTGTGTGTGTGTGTGTGTGAGAGAGAGAGAGAGAGAGAGAGAGAGAGAGAGGAGAGCCCTGTGGGTTAAATGTTGGTTCCTAACCACAAGGCTGGCGATGTCAAACCACCAGTTGCTCTCTGGAAGAAAGACGAGGCTGTGTGCTCCCCGCTCTCAGACAGAGGCACATGCTCAGAAACTCTGGATGGGACAGTTAGGAATCGGAGTCAACAGCATTGTCATGAAGTTTAGTCCAACTCATACTGACCCTGTAGGACAGAGTACAGCTCCTCCGTAGGGTTTCCAAAGAGCCCTGGTGGCAGAGCGTACTAAGGACTGGGCCACTAATACCAAGATCTGCAGTTCAAACGTACCAACCTCTCAGAGGGAGAAAGATGAGGCTGTCTGCTCCAGGAGTAGAAAGTAGAGTCTGTCTCCTGAGGAGCAGCTGGGTGTTACAAACTGCTGACTTTGCGGTTAACAGCCCAACGCTAACCACCCAGCCACCAGGGCTCCCATTCATTGGCTAAGCTGGAAAGGCATAAGTGTTATTCTGCCCAACTCTGTGCTGGAAGAGGTCAGTTCGATGCAGGTTGCCAGTGGGTGTCCATTGCCATATTCTCAGGCTTTGGAGATGCTCAGAAGCTCTACCTCTCCTTCATGAGAAGCTAGCAGTTGGGCTGTCCACACTGAGAGGGCCTGTAACACTTCTGGGCTGACACTTAAGCCAACCTTGGATGACATGCCTTCTCTATAAACAACACAGTACACACGCATACAAAAACCCAGCTGCCATGGTGTGCACGGACTCTGGTGAATGGTGGCCCCAGGTAGACAGCATTGACCTGAGCTCTGTGCAGATTGCAAAGCTGTCCCAAGGCAAACCACCAGCTCTTTCCTTAGAGCAGTGGTTCTCAACCTTCCTCATGCTGCGACCCTTTAATACAGTTCCTCGTGTGGTGGTGATCTCAATCATAAAATTATTTTCGTTGCTACCTCATCACTAATTTTGCTACTGTTATAAATTGGGTGACCCCTGTGAAAGGGTCATTATACCCCCCCACCCAAAAGGGGTGGTGATCCACAGGTTGAGAACTGCTGTCTTCTTAGAGGCTCCTGTAGGTGACCTTGAACCACTCACCCACCTTTTGGGTAGTGGCCAGCCACTTAACACTTCTTGTGCCACATGAGGCTTCCACTCTCAGTAGGACTTAAGAAAATGTGTCCATTTTAGTATTTGTCCGTGCAGGCGTCCAGTATGGTGATGTGAACACATAAGGAGCCTTGGTGGCACAGTGTATTAAGCAGCTAACCACAAAGTTGGCGGTTCAAACCCACCAATGGCTAAGGGGGAGAAAGATGAGGATGGCTGTTCTTGTAAAGATTTATATTCTCAGAACCCCTGGATAGGGCCGTATGGCTGTGGGATATTAATACGCAGACATTCTTTCATAAACTAAACATGTTTGTCTACTTAAAATAATCAATAGACTTTATGCTAGAGAATTGTGGAATAAATGTACTGCCAAGGATTTGGAAAATCTCTAGCAATTTAGGTAGCTTTATCACCTATGTCATGGTATTTTCAGTCACCTCCTGCGAATGTCGGACATTGAATAAGGAAGATCATAGAAGAACCAGTGCATGTGAATTATGGTGTTGGAGAAGAATATTAAACGTACCATGGACTACCAAAAGAGCAAACAAATCTGTCTTGGAAGAAGTACAGCCAGAATGGTCCTTAGAAGCGAGGATGGTGAGACTTCATCTCATGTACTTTTGACATGTGATCCAGAGAGACCAGTCCCTGGAGAAGGACATCATGCTTGGTAAAGTAAAGGGGCAGCGAAAAAGAGGCGGCTCCTCAGCACGATGGATGGGCACAGTGATTACAGCGATGGACTCAACTACAAGAGCAATTGTGAGGATGGCGTAGGACCCGGTGCTGCTTCGTTTGGTTGTACGTAGGGTCACCATGAGTCAGAACTGACTCAACAGCACTAACAGCAACAACAACAACAACAACAGCAATGCCTCGGTCCTTTTGGCAGAGGACATTGAGACTTAGAAATGGGTGATGCTCTTTGCACATGGGCCAACATGACAATGTCTCAGCTGTGGGCTCCCCAAGTCTTCATCCTTCCTCTCTCTAGTTCTTTGTTGCTTATGGAATTAGCTCAGCTCAGACACCTATAGTCCAGATCTGGGGTAGCGGACAGATGGTTTCAAATCTTATAGCAAATGTATGTTAGACTGTTCTTGTCCCCGCACCAGAAATCACACTCAAGCTCTAAATGCAGCAATGCCTTTGGCACAGCCTGACATTTAGCCCACGAGAGGACCTAGTTCACTACCTAGTGTCTGGAGAAAGTGAACATTTTGGGTGTGCTGTGGAAACCGGAGCGTGGACTCCATCTGTTCCTTGCATGTAAAAGTGCTTGTGTCCTACCTGAACATAAAAGCTTGTCCATCCTACCCCATTGCTTTGTGTGTTCAAACTCACGGCCATCCAGTCGATTCTAACTCGTAGTGACCCTGGAGGCCAGGGTAGAACTGCTCTTGTGGGTTTCTGTGGACTCTTAACTCTTAGAAACGCCGCCTCTTTCTCCCATGGAGCAGCTGGTGGTTTTGAACTGCCTACATACATCATAACCCATGCTACTATACCAGCAGGGCTCCCTTTGTGTGTTAGACAAGGATTAGGCAACTCAAGGGATTCCTTGTGGTGGGCCACCCCCGTGGCATTCTATGGTTGATTTATCGCCATCGAGTCAGTTCTGACCCATGATAACACCGTGTAAGGGAGAGTAAAGTTTGCCGAGCCCTGTGACATTTTTCGGATTGTTGCTGTGCTCGGGTGATTGGCTGTGGCCAATATGTGTTTTGGGTGTGTTTCCACCTGGGTGGGGGGTCATCTTCTAGCACTGTATCAGACAATATTCTGCTGTTATCCATAGGGGCTTCACTGGCTAATGTTCACAAATAGATTGCTTACCGGGACTTTCTTCTTAGTCTGTCTTAGTATGAAAGCCCCTGTCTGCCAGGCATGACCTGGCTGGTATTTGAAACGCCACTGGCATAACCTCCAGCCTCATAGTAATGCACAAACAGCCAGTGGGACATGCCGAACGACCACGGGACCTTGTTGGAGAGGGTCTTTCAGCAGCGCTGTCACAAATTTGTCTGGCCCAACTGTCTGGGGTGTGATGGCACTTACGAACCATTGCCCTAAGATGGTTCAGTGCTCACTCTAACATTGAATGTGCAACATGTAAGTCCCAGTTGAAGCCCAGAAGGGTGGGTGGTACCATGCTCTGTTGGCCCCAGTGTGGTGATGTCACACTCATCAGTGCTCATCTAAACAAGATGGTACCTGGTGTATTTTTCCTTGGCCCTACACCTTGATAAGCCTATCTACCACTGTACAGTCATGCTTGTTACAACTTTAAAAGTACCCACTCGTTGCTTATCAACTCTCTCATGATCAGGTGGTTTGCATTTGTGTTTATAAAAACAAAACAAAACAAAATAAACTATTTTGTGCATTTTATCGGTTATCTCTTGGCTGTCGTGATGATGCTGGCTGGGAGGGTTAACGTTTTGTAACTGCGTGCCTGGGCTGTGATCCTCAGTGGCTTGGCAGTTAGGCAGTGATGAAATTGAGCGGCTGTGTGCTGATGGAATGAACTTACATTTGGGGTCTGAGGTGGTCGTGTTCCGTTTTCACAGTATACTGGCTTTTGCATAGCAACCTGCTCTTTAGACCCTAAGCAGGTCCACGGCCACGGAGAGTGTGTGTGCTGTCTCTAGTGCTGCACCTGTCTGAAGGTCCTTTGATTTGATTTCCCATCATACACCAGCGCTCTACCCACAGCCTCTAGCAGGTCTTGATTATTGATGCCTTCCACCATGTCATATTAAATATGAAAACACACTTCCATCTCATCCTAAATGCCACGTGACATCTAAAACCAAAGTAGGGGTGAAGAGGTGGCTGACTCGGAGGTGACAGTATTTGCTGAGGAACCAGACTGGACTTGGTAGTTTTCAGCACCGTGGCCTTTCAGAAAGTCACAGCAGGCCTTTTGCTTGGGGTCCCTCTGGGTCGGTTCACATAGTTTGAGGCTTAACCATTGAGTCATCAAAAAAACAAAGCGCACAAAACCAAACTCACTGCCATTGAGTTGATGCTGACTCGTAAGGACCCCGTAAGACAGGGTGGAACTGCCCCTGTGAGGTCTAAGAAGTAGGAAATCTCATCTTTCTTCCCCAGAATGGCTGGTCATATTGAACTGCCAAGCTGGCAGTTAGTAGCCAAACTCGTAACCAGTACGCCACCACTGCCCCCATTGGTGCCATCCAAAAACTCCTACATATCATATACGTCACTATACATTCCTATGAGTTGTAGAAGCTAGTTGATGTAACTAGGATAATTTAGTATCTATTCATGAAAATTTGGAGGCCTCTCTCCCCCCTGCCTCCCCATTTTAGATCACTGAGCTTTTTGAGATCCAGATTTTTAGATGTTCCTTGACTTCCACGAGCTCTGATGCCCATGTGCCCTTCTCCCCTGTTGCTTTTCCTCCTGGCAGGTCTGACCTGTGTGGGCCCAGTCTCTTCCCCTGCAGCCAACTTTTCCTGTGTTTCCACCCGGGAGTCAGTGTGGTCAAAGGTAAGAAGCCCTCTGCTCCTTCCTGTCCATGCCTGGAGGTGTGAGTCAGGATTTTATCATCTGCACGGAAACACTCCAGGTCTCCTGCCTGCTGGCTCCCTCCTGAGCCGTGGGGCCAGGAATGTCGGGATGGATGTGATGCACTGATGTGGAATTTGAAAAGCCACATTCACTCACTAGGCCTGAGAGACTTTTTTGGTCTCCCTCAATCACTGTCAGGGTAGAGTCCCAACTGAATTTTAAATGTTTGTTCCACCTACTGAGACTCTCTTGCTACACACAGCCTTGTCACTGCTTTTAAATGTTTCACTTTAGACGGGGAGCGTATTTTCCAGTATTGTCTTTCCCCTGCTTTGCTGGCATCACACCTTCCCGCTTCATTAATTCCCCTTCAACCCACAATGTCAATTGTTTTTCTTTCTTGGTCATCCCTAAGGCAGCCTCTTTTCAAGTGCTCTATTACTCTAGGCCTTGAGAACTGAGAAAATATACGTGTTTTTGTGTTTGAGAATAGTTAAGGGTATGTGTGATAAATGATTCTGGGATGAAGTGACTGAGTTATTTTAACCTGGAATGTTGGTGTTTGCAAGACATCTACTGGGTGAGAATTTGCTTTTATTGCACAGAATAGAACATTGAGCATGATAGTGACAATTTCAATGAGGAGAGGACCTTCATTTCCTCTTACATTAAAAAGTGTCAAGGGACTTCAGAAAGTTGTAAAAGTGGAACGAATGGACGGAGAGAGATCATGGGAATCTCCCGGCTTTTTGAAGCTCCTTCACGTCCAGATGGACTCCCTGCTGACGTCCTGGCTGGTGGTGCCGCTCACGGTTCATGGCTGTTGTCTTTCTGCTCTTCCACGCTCGGCACTGATTGCCATCCTCAGGGTGTAATAGAACTGCTGGGGCTCTGCCATCTTTGCCATTGGACCGGCAGTAGGAAGCATGAGTGAACAAATGCTTCCTCAGAAGCACAGCCCACACTTCAGCTCCTATTGTGTTTACTCGAACGGAGCAGTGCACTTCCAAACAGATTCTCAGTGGCAAAAGGTACCTGCGGTTGAATGTGAGAGCCAAGGGATTGTTTCCTCGAAGCAGCCTCACGTTTCGGGCTGAGCAGAGAGATAGGTGGCAGTCCTGGACTCTTCTTGGCTGGGAACCTGGGGGAAGGAGCAGGGCCAGTCCAGGTGGGCTGTAAGGTGGCGAAGAGCTCACTTGGGAAATGGTACCTTTCGAAGGGCCTGGGCCACATCCACGTCAGGACCAGTCAGGTCAGCCGTCAACCATGTTGTCCAAAGTCTGGAGCTCAGAAGATAGAAGTTGCTGGGCTAGCGAGAAGAGACGAGACCTGAACATCTGCACTGAGTGGGCGCAGTGAGCACATCCCACCTTTGATGCTAACTGCATGGGAAAGATGAGCTTGAATCCAACACACACCCCCACCCCCCGAAATTTGGAAAGGAATGCAGTTCACACCTTCCCTCTCCTCCAGCCTCATTGCCATCTGCCCAAGTGACATTCTCTCTTGGACCCTAGCCACCAGAACTTGGGGCAGAGCTCTCCAGTTGGAGGGTCATCATTTTTCAGCCTGCCGTACAGACAGGTGCCAGCACCTTTCAGCTTCCCTTGCCCGGGGGTCTGTGAACTCACCAGAATGACTCATGGGATTCATAGGAGTGTTTTCCATCCTTCTGCTGATGGCTTTATTTTAACCACAAAGAGATACTTAGGTTGAGCTTTGGGTGCGTCCCAGCACAGAACTTGTGTGTCCCCAAGAGAAATGCACTCCCCTGATGGTCATCAATCTGGAAACTCCTCTCAGCCCTAGGGCTCAGGGTTCTCATCGCCTCTCCCCGAGGTCTAGGGAGATGACATCATGCTGCCTGAGGCTTGGTCAGCAAGGAGCCCACTCATTAGCCTCAAGTGGTCTGGCACGCAGGGACATTGCCTTCTACCAGGTCACTGCACCACACAGCATTCCAGAAGGCTCCTGACACTCCACTGGGGAGAAACTCCACTGCAATAAACTAGCAATGGAAAAACAATGGATTTTTTTT